ACATGAACGTCCTTGGCGAGTTCTGTGTGCTTCTTGCAGAGGGCAGGGAGGGAGGGCAGTGGGGGCAACATATTCAGTTCTGATGCTTGGTGTTTCCAGAACCTTTACCTATTAATCCAAATAATAGTAGCAGTAATAGTAATAGTAGTAGTAGTAATAATAATTTATTTTATACACCACCCATCTGGCTGTGTTTCCCCAGCCACTCTGGGTGCCTCCCAACATAATATTTACAATAAAAAGTGATAAAATTTCAAACATTAAAAACTTCCTTGAACAGGGCTGCCTTCAGATGTCTTCTAAAAGTCAGATAGTTGTTTTTTCCCTTCGCATCTGCTGGGAGGGTGTTCCACAGGGTGGGCAACACTACCAAGAAGGCCCTCTGCCTGATTCCCTGTAACCTCATTTCTCGCAGGGAGGGAACTGCCAGAAGGCATTTGGCACTCAGAACTGGAGATCAGTGTCTGGGCTGAACGATGGGGGTGGAGACGCTCCTTCTGGTATCCTGGGCCAAGGCCATTTAGGGCTTTAAAGGTCAACACCAGCACTTTGAATTGTGCTCGGAAACATACTGGGAGCCAATGTAGGTCTCTCAGGATTGGTGTTATCTGGTCCCGTCAGCCACTCCCAGTCACCAGTCTAGCTGCCACATTCTGGATTAGTTGTAGTTTTCAGGTCACCTTCAAAGGTAGTCGCCCATAGAGCACATTGCAGTAGTCCAAGTGGGAGATAACCAGAGCATGCACCACAATGGCGAGGTAGTCCATGGGCAGACAGGGTCTCAGCCTGCGTACCATCATGGATTCTTCTCCTCAATAAATTGACATGAACGTCCTTGGCGAGTTCTGTGTGCTTCTTGCAGAGGGCAGGCAGGGAGGGAGAACTGTAGGGCGGTGGCGGTAATATAGTCATTTCAGAAGCCTGGGGTTTCCAGAGCCTTTTCCCAGTGCACAAAGTCCTTTAAGGTAGCGTCAGTCAACCTTGTTCCTCTAGCTCTTCCCTAGCTCATGGGACACTCGCGCCATATTATCATGGAGTGTGCTGGGCCCAGAGGTAACCCGGCTAATGTGGTCTAGGTCCAGTACCGAATCCAAGGTTTCCGCGAGGAGTCAGCCCGACAGGGCAGAGGTAGGAAACCAGGCAAGGTCAGGCACAGGATCACAGGCATGTTCTGGCAAACAGCAACATTCCTCCCACAACCTGGGGTGGGGTCCAGCAGCCTTTTATCTCTGTTGGGGTAACGGCTGGTCCTGATCCCCCGGTGACTCGCCTCCCTGTCTCGCCCAAAAGCGAGCACTTCTCCTGCGAGTACTCAGGTCTCTCCTTCTCTCAGACCTCAGTCTCTGCAGCTCAGGAGACGTCTGTGGGTTACTAGACCCAGAGGCCATCTCAGCCTCTCCTGACCTAATTGGTAGTGGTGCAGCTGTAAGTGATGGCCCAGCTGAAGGCAACGAGGGAATCCCCGCATCTGGAGCCAGGGTAGGCTCAGGCCCCTGACTCGGCCCAGCTGGTGCTTGTTGCAGGAGAACCTGTGCAGACTGGGGCTCTTCAGGATCAGGACCCAGACTTGGTGTGGCTCTGAGTCCGAGCCCGAGTCCCGGGCCATCACATGGAGAAGCAGAATGCAGAGGAGTGGGGAGAGGCACCAGCTGGGGAATCCCAGCTAGTCAAGATACCCATACATTATCTTCAGGGTCATTGGGCACCCCTGAATGCCAGTCGCTAGGTAACAACACCAGGAAAGGGCTTTTGTGTCAATCAAAACAGGTGATGCTGAGACCCTGAACCTCCCCAACCCCCACAAAAAATTGCCAGGAATGTTTATCGCTTCCATGAACACAGACAAAATAAGTAACCAATGTATCCTCAAAACTGGCCCCTATTTCCTCCCCTGCCCAAAAATAGGAGATGGAGGTTTCTTTTTTATAATATTTTTATTAATTTTCACCAAAAGAAAAATAGATAAACATTTCCACTTTACAAATTTTCTCGTTTTTTGGACTTCCCTCAGCCATTCTGACAATCATCCGAATTAAACTTTTTAGTTACACATTTTCTTCAATTCCTATTGCCTTTTAACAAACCCATCCACACCTGCTTTTCTTTCTTACAATATTTCTTAAGTTTTTACAGAGCTTCTTTAAATGCTGCAAACGTTATTTCATTATCACTTAAACCTCCCCAATACTTGACTAATTTTCCCCAGTCCTCGATAAACTTTTGATCTCGTTGGTATCTGATCTTCCCTGTCATTTTATCAAGTTCTGCATAGTCCATCAGCTTCATTCTCCATTCCTCCAAAGTAGGTACTTGTTCCTGTTTCCATCTCTGGGCCAATAATATTCTTGACGCTGTTACTGCATACTGGAAAAGTTTACAGTCCTTTCTATTTATTTCATTTTCTATGATTCCTAAAAGGAAAGTCTCTGGTTTCTTAGCAAATGTGTATTTCAACATTTTTTTCAATTCTTTATATATCAATTCCCAGAAGCTCTTCACTTTCTTACATTCCCACCACATATGGTAAAAAGTGCCATCCTTTTCTTTACATTTCCAACATTTCTTACATGTTTTATACATTTTTGCAAGTTTTACCGGTGTAATATACCATCTATAAATCATTTTCATAACATTTTCCTTTAACACAGTACATGCGGTAAATTTAATGTTTTCACTCCATAGTTTGATCCAATCTTTAAATTGTATATTGTACCCAAAATCTCTGGCCCATTGTATCATAACAGATTTAACTTCTTCATCTTTTGTATGCCATTCTAACAATATCTTATACATTTTAGATAAAATCTTACAGTCATTATTTATTACTTCTGTTTGAAATTTTGAATCTTTCTCTCTATATCCATTTTCTTTAAAATCCTTTTTAAACATTTCATTTATTTGAAAATAATGCAACCAATCATATACATACTCTTTTACTTCTTCATAGGGTTTCATTTTCCATTTCCCCCCTTCCTTTACAATCAGATTTCCATATGTAATCCAATTCCTTCTCATATTGATTCTTTTAACACTCATAGCCTCTAATGGAGATAGCCAGTGTGGAATTTTTGGTTCAAGTAGGTTTTTATACCTATACCTATATTTCTATCAACGATCTTCGGAAAATGTCGTTCTCAAAACCTTTATGGATTTTCTTTTTTTCAAACCATAAATAGGCGTGCCACCCAAATCTATTATCAAATCCTTCTATGTCTAGCAACTCTGTATTTTCTAATTTTATCCATTCCTTTAACCAACAGAGACATGAAGCTTCATAATATAGTTTCAAGTCTGGCAGGGAGAAGCCTCCTCTTTCTTTAGCATCTGTTAATAACTTAAACTGAATTCTTGGCTTCTTACCCTGCCATATATACCTTGAAATTACTCTTTGCCACTCTTTAAAGGTCACAGTCCCTTTGATTATTGGAATTGTCTGAAACAAAAATAACAATTTTGGCAGCACGCTCATCTTTATAGATGAAATCCTTCCCCACAGTGATAACTTCATTCTACCCCACACCTCCAGATCTTTCTTTATTCCATTCCACACTGGTAAGTAATAATTCTGATACATATCAATATTCTTTTGGGTTATCCAAATAGCCAAGGCTCTGTCACCTCCTCGCCTCTGATATAGTAAAATGAAGAATGGGTCAAATAGGCCACAACTTTATTGTTTATATATGAGAAGCTTTGGCATTGCCATTGGGTATACCATTTTAAATCTGGCCCATCTGCTGGGATTGTATTCTAGGGTAAACTCAACCTAAGGTGGGGGCCGGTATGGCCTACATCAAATAGGGGCACCCCTAGGGGTCCCTGTTGGAGGAGTAAAGGTAAAGGTAAAGGTACCCCTGCCCATACGGGCCAGTCTTGCCAGACTCTAGGGTTGTGCGCTCATCTCACTCTATAGGCCGGGAGCCAGCGCTGTCCGCAGACACTTCCGGATCACGTGGCTAGCGTGACAAGCTGCATCTGGCGAGCCAGCGCAGCACACAGAGCGCCGTTTACCTTCCTGCTGGTAAGCGGTCCCTATTTATCTACTTGCACTTAAGGGTGCTTTCGAACTGCTAGGTGGGCAGGAGTTTGCATTGATACAAACTCATCTCTTCTCCCTCCCTCTTCCCTCCCTTCTGTGTCTTAGAGCCATTCTATTCCTTCAGAAACAGAAATAACTAAAACAATACTCATTATAGTTACAGATAGGTAGCCGTGTTGGTCTGCCATAGTCACTACATGTATTTTGCAGAGGAAGGGGTTGGGGGCCTGTTTTGGGGAGACATTGCCTGCTTTTTTTGCCTGTGTCCTATTTGTTCCTGGAGGTGATAAATATTCTTTGTCTGTTTTTTTTGTGTGTGTTTTTTGTGGAGGAATGTTTAGGGGTCTCAGCCTCACCTCTCTTTCTCCTGTGAAATGGTTATTTTGCAGCGGCCATGGCAGCTCCTTAAATTTCCAGATGTGTCCCTGTGCCCTAAAAGTTTGGTGCAAAAGCCCTCTCCTGGTGTTGTTACCTGGTGACTGGCATTCAGAGGTGGCCTCTGAACCTGGAGGTAATCTACAGTCATCATGACTAGCTGGGGTTCCCCAGCAGCTGCCTCTCACCAGACCTCTGCATTCAGCTGGTCCATGACATTATGGTAGGAGTGTCCCATGTGCTAAAGAGGAGCTAGAGGAGGAAGCCTGGGATAGGCTACCTGGACAGGTGCTATGAGGAGGGACACAGATGTTCCTTTCAGCCCCAATGCGACAAGATGGAAACCCTTTTTTTTTTTTTTTTTGCAGGTGAAAATATTTGCAGAAATCATCACAGGTTTTGGCTTAGTTCCTGTGTGGACAGTCTAGCCACATGAGTATAATGGTAGTAGGAATTGTACAGGACTTTGTACACTGGGAAACAGCTCTGGAAACACCAAGCATTTGAAATGAATATGTTGCCCCCACCGCCCTACAGTTCTCCCTCCCTCCCTGCCCTCTGCAAGAAGCACAAAGAACTCTCCAAGGACGTTCATGTCAATTTATTGAGGAGAAGCATCCATGATGGGCCCCTCTACACAGCTGAGTGGTGAAGGACAGGGTCTCCAGCTCCTCCTCGTGAGGCGGCCTGCCTCCTGCTCAGCCTTTCATGTCAGGTACACAGCAGACGGCACTACCGCAGTCGCAGGTGTGGTAGTGTCGAGTCTTCAGGCAGTGAGTGCCACACATGCCTCCATAGCTACTGCAGGTGCGCTTCTTACAGGTTCCTGCAGGAGGTAGAGAAAGGCAGTGTGGTTCAGTGGTTAGAATGTTGGACTAGGCCCGGGGAGACCAGGGTGCAAACCCCTAGTCAGCTGTGAAACTCACTGGGTGTTGTGGTGCTTAAATGAGGAGGGGGAGAACCATGTACACCACATGGGAAAAGGTGGCATATAAATGGAATAGATGAACGAACAATAAATATTGAGGCAAAGCAAGAGCACCTCCCCGTGGATGGAGCTCCCACCAAGGATCTGCAGAGAGGGAATGCCCAGCTGCATGCAAGACAAATCCCATGCTCCACCCCTGAGCTATGGTCTCTTTCTGGAAGCAGCTTCACACCAAACATCTATGTTAGCGGTCAGAGGTGGGGAACCTCAGCCTTGGGTGCTCAATGCAGCCCTACAGATTTCTCTGCTCGACTCAAGCCACACCCCCTTCCTAGGCCACACCCCCTTCCTAGGCCACACCTCCCACTGCCCTGCTCCACACACTCCTCTTGTGGTTTTCCCTGGCTGGAATGTGCTCTTGAGATGCAATGTTGCCTCGTTCTTGCCTCTGGCCAGAGGATGAAGAAATGTCTGCATGTGCTTGTGGACAGAAAGCAGCCTGTTCACTTTCTCACTCCACACATGATTGTAGGCACCCCTTTCATGCCTCTTGGCTGCCTTTTCTCTAGCTGAAGAAGTCCCGAATGTTGTACCCTTCCCTCTTGAATGAGCTGCTTCAACCCCGTGGTCATTTTGTTTGTCCTTTTCTGAACTTTTGCCTGGAACACAACATCCTTTTTCAGGGGAGGTCACCTCCTGTTCTCCTTGCTGTTCTACCGCTAAGCCTTAGAAATGCCTCCCAGACCAAAACGTTCTTTGAAGCCCAAATGAGGTTCCAGTTTAGACCCAAGACTGACTGCTCTATGCCATCGCTTTCCCATGGGGCCCACACCACCCCCTTGAGTTCAGACCAGGTCAGGAGAACCTTCTGTCTTCACCATAAGAACATAAGAAGAGGCTGCTGGACCAGGTCAGTGGTTCATCTCGTCCAGCACCCTCTTCTGTCAGTGGCTGACCAGATGCCTGCGGGAAAGCCACAAGCGGGATCCAAGCACAAGGGCAATCTTCCCCCCTGGAATATTCAGAAGCCTTTACTGTCTCCAACTGTGGAGATGGAGCACAGCTATCAGGGCCAGTAGCCATCAATAGCCCTCTCCTCCATGAATTTCTATAATCCTCTTTGAAGGTCATCTAGGCTGGTGGCTATTACTGCCTTTCCTATGAATCCCATACCTCTCCTTTGAATTCAGGCCAAGGCAGCAGACCCTTCACTCTCTCTTATCAAACACAGCCCCTTCTTCCCACCCTGTAGAAATCCGGTTCATACCTGCAACAGCCATGTCGGTGACAACCAACATCACGATGGCCAAGGCAAGGTAGAGAGCTCTCATCGTGGAGTTCTGGTTGGGTTCTCTGGATGAACACAGAAGGACAGTGGATGAGCTGAGGACTCGGTGGTGCTTCCAGTCAGGGACTCTGCACTTTTATAGTGGGAATATCTGGTAGAGATGTCATGTGGACATTCATGGGGCTTACGTAGCTTCTGCCCTTTTGGGTGCATTCCTGTCTTATCTTCTCTTGCCCAGTACAATGCACACTGATGCAGTCTTTTCAATGGCTATTGTTCATTGGGTTCATCCACTTTATTCTTTTTGTGATAGCCATGCTCACCTGACCACCAACCTGCCAGACTCCAAAGAAGGAACTCTATGTCTTTATGATCTGCTGTGAAATGTATGACTCGCTGTTAAGTCATGGACAAGGCAGCCAAATTCAACATCCATTTGGGTGTTGACAGTGTCTCAAGATTAGAGAGCCCAATGGAGCAAGGAATTTGGGTATGGGAGCAGAAATGGGTCTGAAGGACCTGGTGAAAATGAAAAGGGAACAATAAGGCAACAAGGGCAACCTTCCCCCCTGGAATATTCAGAAGCCTGAAGTACTGGTCTGCAAGGTTTGGTTGTTCCCCCTTGGGGGGGACTATTTAGGGGGTACTGGAGGCAAAGGGGCAACAGAGGTAGCTGGAACCATAAATGATGGCATGCCAAGGCTCTGTGACCTCCTCGCCTCTGATATAATAAAATAACCAGACAGGACCATGTGTGTAAGTGAAGATAGGGTCAGGTAGGCCACAACTTTATTGTTTATATATGAGAAGGTTTGACATTGCCATTGGGTATACCATTTTAAATCCGGCCTGTCTGCTGGGAGTATATTCCAGGGTAAACCCAACCTAACGTGGGGGCCCGTATGACCTACATCAAATCGGAGCATCCCCTAGGGCAGTGGTTCTCAACCTGTGGGTCCCCAGATGTTGTTGAACTACAGCTCCCATCATCCCTGAGCTCTGGCCTTGCTAGCTAGGGGTGATGGGAGTTGTAGTTCAACAACAACTGGAGACCCACAGGTTGAGAAAAACTGCCCTAGGGGATCCCCGTTGGAGGAGTGCTATAACCCAAACCTCCGCCTGGGCAACCCTACAGAAATATGTCTTCACAGATACCCTTTAACGGGATACCATTTCCTAGGGTGGGGCAGGCAGAGGCTACAAGCTCCCTTCCATTCAAGACTACGGTTTACCCAATGCCTAGCCGCACAAAGTTGTGGCAATTGTTAAGAGGAAGGCAAAACCACAGGACCAGAGCCAATTTGCCAAGTGCAAAAATTCCTTCCTGGCCCAGAATATTGTAGCCAAAATGGTCCATAGCAAAGTCAAAAACCAGCAAATAGCCAATATTAGACCTCCAAAGCTTGCTCGTTATTTTGTGACCTTTTTTGTTGCTCCTAGCTAGAAAACAAAAGTTTTTAAGGTTAATATTGGTGGACTGATTGCCGCCTTTGGAGAGAACTCATGAGAGTTCTCTCATGGTGTTCTGGCTGGATTCTGTGGATGAACACAGAAGGAAGGACAGAAGATTGGCTGAAGAACCAATAGTGCTTACAGTCAGGGGTTCAGCTGTGTAATATAGGGGAGGCCTTGGATAGATGCCATGCATGTATCAGCAAGCTGCTTGCATAGATTCTGACATTTTGTAGATGTTGTTTTTCTAGTCCTCAGAACAGGGAATATAGAACATAGAATACATCACTTGCTATGAATCGGCAGCCAATGAAGGCCGAAACCAAAATCTATTTGACTTTGATGGTCCATCATGGTTAGAGAAGTTGGGTGGGAATCAGTGCCACAGAAGGATGTGTTAGACAGATAAAAACAAAGGAATAAAGCGACCTGTTTGTCTGAAAAACATGTATGGAATGATGCACCACTCACACTCCATATCTATCTATCTATCTATCTATCTATCTAGTCCAATAGCACCTTATAGAACTGGGACGCAGGTGGCGCTGTGGGTTAAACCACAGAGCCTAGGACTTGCCGATCAGAAGGTCGGTGGTTCGAATCCCCGTGACGGGGTGAGCTCCCATTGCTTGGTCCCTGCTCCTGCCAACCTAGCAGTTCGAAAGCACGTCAAAGTGCAAGTAGATAAATAGGTACCACTCTGGCGGGAAGGTAAACAGCATTTCCGTGCGCTGCTCTGGTTCGCCAGAAGTGGCTTAGTCATGCTGGCCACATGACCCGGAAGCTGTACACTGGCTCCCTTGGCCAATAAAGTGAGATGAGCACCGCAATCCCAGAGTCGGTCACGACTGGACCTAATGATCAGGGATCCCTTTACCTTTACCTTATAGGCCAAGTAAGTTTGTTCTGTTATACGCTTTAGTGTGCATGCACACTTCTGCAGAAGAAGTGTCTGAAGAGATCGTGCATGCACACGAAAGCTCATACCAGAACAAACTTAGTTGGTCTATAAGGTGTAAGGTGCTACTGGACAATTTTTTAAATGTTTTTTAATTTTTATTTCGACTGCGTCAGAGCAACACAGCTACTTACCTGAATCCATATTTATCTATGTTTAACTCAACAGTTGCCCTCCAGGTGTTTCCTGTCTACAAATTCCATTAAGAAGAGTCCTGATGGATCAGTCCGAAGGCACATTGGGGCCAGCATCCTGTTCACGCAATGGCCAACCAGGTCCTTATATGGGTAGCTCACAAGCGGTGTCTCGGTCCTGATAACCTGACCATTTTGCCATTTTATCTGGGGCTGATGGGAGTTGAAGTCAAGCCACATCTGGACCTTCACAATCTCTCCATTCCTGGTTTAACACAATCAATGTGCATAGTGGTTTGCAAAGTACAGAGGGAGAGGTTGACACTCCTGGAGAGTTCACAGTCTAAAATTCAACACATTGTAGAACTCTACAATTCTATGAAATGAGAAAATTAAGTTGACTAAGTCCTGGAGAATAAAATGTGCACAGACCCCAGGCCTAGAATGGATCCTTGTGGCACTTCAGAACCAAAACTTTCCTCCTTGTTCTTCCCTTAAGAAAGGGAAGTGTCTTTGTGCAATCAGCTGGGTCATGGTTGAACTAGCAGGGAGAATGTCCCATAAACAGTGGGAGAAGGCAATGAACAATAAGCATTGGAAATGTGGCAACTGGGAGGGAAATGCCTGTGAGCAAGTTCAGTGGGCCGGCATGACAGTTTGGAAGAGCAGGCAGGGAAAACCTACTGACCCACAATCACCAGTCTTCCTGAATGACTCGGCTTCTGATAGTCACCACGTAATGAATCTGCTCCAAGTTCCGTCCAGTAGAAATGCATTCTCCCTCTTACTCCCATCAGCACTACTAAGAAGACCCCCATTCCCTCAATAAAGAAACTTCTTTTCTCCCTCTCCCTCCCTGCTAGAACTGAGGGGCAGCCAATGAACCTGAGTGCTAGAGGATTCGGTACAGATAAAAGAAAGTACAGTGGTACCTCGCAAGACAAAAAACTCGCAAGACGAAAGGGTTTTTTGTTTTTTGAGCTGCTTCGCAAGACGATTTTCCCTATGGGCTTGCTTCGCAAGACGGAAACGTCTTGCAAGTTTGTTTCCTTTTTCTTAACACCGTTAATACAGTTGAGACTTGACTTCGAGGAGCAACTCATAGAACGCAGTGTGGTAGCCTTTTTTGAGGTTTTTAAAGACTTTGGTGATTTTTGAAGCTTTTCCAAAACTTTCCCGACACTGTGCTTCGCAAGACGACAAAAATCGCAAGACGACAAAACTCGCGGAACGAATTAATTTCGTCTTGCGAGGCACCACTGTATTTCTTCAGGCAGAGCATATGGAAACTATGGGACTCACTCCAGCAGGAAGCAGATGGCTTTAAAAGAGTACTGGAAACATTCATGGAAGAAAAGGCTATCATTGGCTACTAGATGCAATGGCTATCTCCTACTGGATACTCCCTGGTCCTGAATGGGGTGACTGTGCCCCTGAAGGACCAGGTGCGCAGCCTGGGAGTCATTTTGGACTCACAGCTGTTCATGGAGGCACAGGTTAATTCTGTGTCCAGGGCAGCCATCTACCAGCTCCATCTGGAATGCAGGCTGAGACCCTCCCTGCCCGTAGACTGTCTCGCTAGAGTGGTGCATGCTCTGGTTATCTCTCGCTTGGACTACTGCAATGCGGTCTATGTGGGGCTACATTTGAAGGTGACCTGGAAACGACAACTAATCCATAATGTGGCAGCCAGACTGGTGACTGGGAGTGGCTGATGAGACCACATAACACCGGTCTTGAAAGACCTACATTGGCTCCCAGTACGTTTCCGAGCACAATTCAAAGTGTTGGTGCTGACCTTTAAAGCCCTAAACGGCCCAGTATCCCTGAAGGATCATCTCCACCCCCCCCTCGTTCAGCCCAGACACTGAGGTCCAGCTCCAAGGGCCTTCTGGCGGTTCCCTCACTGCAAGAAGTGAGGTTACAGGGAACCAGGCAGAGGTCCTTCTTGGTGGTGGTGCTTGCCCTGTGGAATGCCTTCCCATCAGATGACAATGAAATAAACAACTATCTGACTTTTAGAAGACATCTGAAGGCAGCCCTGTTTAGAGAAGTTTTTAATGGTTGTAGTTCTATTCTGTTTTTAGTGTTCTATTGGGAACTGCCCTGAGTGGTTGGGGAAATCCAGCCAGAAGGACGGGGTATAAACAATAAAATTATTACAGTATTATTATTACAGTATTATTATTATTATTATTATTATTATTATTATTATTATTATTATTATTATTATTAATTATTGCCTGCATAGTTAGTATGCCCCTGAATATCAGTTGTTGGGACTCACAGGCAGGCAGAGCATTGTAGAGCTCAGGTCTTGCTTACTGGCTTCCCTTTGAGGGAACTGTGAGAACAGGATTCTGGATTGGATATTCTGGACTTATCAAACCATAGGACTCTTCTTAGGTTATTGAAGAGATTTCCACAGTGTTATAATCAAGTGTCCATACACAGGGCTAACCTGCCTGAGGAAATGGGGCGTGCAGAGAGAAAAATGCACTTCGCGGTTGTTATGTACTGAGTTGAATAGGATCCAAACTGCAGCAG